ATCTGCAGCATATGTTTGGTATTCTGTGATGACTGGAGATGTTTCTGCTGCATGTAGAGAGCATATCTGCAGCATATGTTCAGTAGTCTCTGGTGCCTGGAGATGTTTCTGCTGCATGTAGAGAGCATGTCTGAAGCATATGTTTGGTATTCTGTGATGACTGGAGATGTTTCTGCTGCATGTGGAGAGCATATCTGCAGCATATGTTTGGTATTCTGTGATGACTGGAGATGTTTCTGCTGCATGTAGAGAGCATATCTGCAGCATATGTTCAGTAGTCTCTGGTGCCTGGAGATGTTTCTGCTGCATGTAGAGAGCATGTCTGAAGCATATGTTTGGTATTCTGTGATGACTGGAGATGTTTCTGCTGCATGTGGAGAGCATATCTGCAGCATATGTTTGGTATTCTGTGATGACTGGAGATGTTTCTGCTGCATGTAGAGAGCATATCTGTAGCATATGTTTGGTATTCTGTGGTGCCTGTCCTCGTGGGCATAGTTCTAAGTCCATAACCTTGAATGTCTTGTACATATGGCTGCAACGTCTGTTGGGACCAGTTCGCAGTCTAAACACCAGTTTGTTTCTGAAACTGTGTTGTTGTCCAACAAAGAGAGGGCTGCGACTTATCCTGTATTAATAAAACTTTATAAACTGATTTTGTTGTCCACAAGATTATCAGTGAAACATGCTATATCCCTTTTTTTTGTGTGCAGCTGTATTAATTAAATAGAAACCTTCGAACATCATAGTTCAGCTTACTATTTTTTTTTTCAATTACAGAAGGATTTTTGAACATGTAGCTAGGTATTCTGAGTTTTTCACATTAGTTTGAGAAGGCTAGACACGTGATCAACAAACCAGTTGGTGTCCTTTGGGGGGGGGGGGGGGGGGGGGGTCTTTTAGCATCATGTCCATATCCTCCTGTCGCATTGCCAGCCATTCATGTCTGATACAGTTGTCCCTCCATGCCAGCATTGTCTAGATTAGTGGTCAGACACACAAACAAGCGAACTTAATCAAAGCCTATTTAAACAAAACAAAAAGCATCATCAGCCCTCTTTTTTTGTAATTCTACTTGTAACAAAAAATGGCCATTTCAATGTATGCGGTCCATGGCAAACCTTCAACAGTAAGAAGGGACCAAGGGTCATATTTAAATGTATGCGGTTCATGGCAAACCTTCAACGGTAAGAAGGGACCAAGGGTCATATTTCAATGTATGTGGTCCATGGCAAACCTTGAACAGTAAGAAGGGACCAAGGGTCATATTTCAATGTATGCGGTCCATGGCAAACCTTCAACAGTAAGAAGGGACCAAGGGTCATATTTAAATGTATGCGGTTCATGGCAAACCTTCAACGGTAAGAAGGGACCAAGGGTCATATTTCAATGTATGTGGTCCATGGCAAACCTTGAACAGTAAGAAGGGACCAAGGGTCATATTTCAGTGTATGCGGTCCATGACAAAAATTTAACAGTAAGAAGGGACCAAGGGTCATATTTCAATGTATGCAGTCCATGGCAAACCTTCAACAGTAAGAAGGGACCAAGGGTCATATTTCAATGTATGCAGTCCATGGCAAACCTTCAACAGTAAGAAGGGACCAAGGCGCATATTTCAGTGAGAACCACTGGTCTTGACCACAGCGATTACAGAACTCCCTCACTCCTTCCCTTCCTGGACGTTCTCAGAAAACAATAGTTAGTGCCTGTGCTATGAGATTGGGTTAGCCTCAGAGCTGTACTCCTCAGGAAAACCATCATGGAAAGGATTCCTGTATGCTCTATAGAGGGCCGTGGTTTTTTCCTCCATTTTAATGGGGGGTTTTTTGTAATGAGGATTATATATCTTTCTTGTTTATCTTGATCTCTACTATTGCTGCCTAAACTCTGTATTTTTGTAATAAAAATCATGTATTGTTTCTTTTCTCTCCTGTAATTTCCATGAAGTCAGACTGATTTTTATATTATCTGCACATATGTTGACAGGTTGTTGGTGGCCCAGAGAGCCAGGTGAAATTTTGTCGAGTTATTTTGCCAGATGGTTCAACAACTGTTGTGTGTGCCAAACCTGGCCAGACCAGTCGCTCAGTGCTCAGCAAGCTGTGTGAGAAACGCTCCATCTCCATCAGCAACGTGGATGTCTTCCTGGTGGGAACAGACAAGGTAACACCCCATTGGCTTCGTTGGTCCATTCCTCAGTTTGTCTGTCCTTTAATCTATTCCTCAGTTTGTCTGTCATTGGTCCATTCCTTATTTGTCTGTCATTGTCCATTCCTCGGTTAGTCTGTCATTGACCTAGTCCTTGTTTGGGAGGAAAGTATAGATTGGATGAACTGCATGCTGGTAAACTGTACAAGGCGAGTGACAAAAAGTGTTTGAGGTCCTACCTTCGTTGCCGAGGTGGCATCTGATTGTATAATTATAATAAGTAGTAGAAATGCAGATGAACACTTTTGTCAAGGTCAATAGTTTGGTTACATAAAGCAATCTAAAAAAAAGGGCTGTTTGAGATAATTTAGATTTAACTGCAATTAAATCTGCTTGGTAATTGACACTGACAACCAAACATTGACGTCAGCATGCACAAATGAACTGGTGTCCACCATGGTAGAGTTATAAGAGAAGGCATGACAAAACCAGCAAACACCCAGTAATGGTGAGATTTACAAGAATTTAATCTAAAAGAAAAAAAAAAGAATTTTTTGTGTCAAATTTCATTGGCAAACAAAAACAGCAGTATTCTTCTTTTCTTGTGTGTTGGCATGCTATTTTATGGCTTACAGCTAGGCTGTCCAACACATCACATTTTAGCAAACCGTAATTAGTTGCCTCTTATGACATGCTTACCTATTGGTCCACCATGGTACCCCAGACCCCTTTGGGTCATTAGAGCAAAATAAGAACAGGATGTCTCTGTATTTTTAATTTCATCATTAATCCATTCACTACTCATGTTTTTTGTATTCAGGCTGTCGATCTGAATGATGACATTTCTACATTGGGGTCAAAGGAAATTGTCATTGAGAGAAGAGTGTTATTCCGTTTAGACTTGCCAGATGGTAAATCTGTTGCTGCCAAGGCCAAACCAAACCGCAGCATCCGAGATGTCTTGAAACCAATTTTAACAAAATATGGTTACAGTCTGGAGAACATCAGCATGAATGTGGTAAGTCAAATTTGGTCTGCTGGCAAACTTAGTGAACAGTTCAGGGACTTGCACTCGCAAAAGGGCAAGGAATAAACCAACAACTGAATGAAAAGATATCAAACTAAAATAAACATAAAACTTGTCAGCTTAATGTTAACGCAAATGAATGTTGCAGCTAGAAAGCCTTCATCAGCACATTACATGAATAGACAGTATTACATTCACGAACTAGGATACACAAATTCACTTAACTGAGGTATCTGCAAGAGAAATCCACATGTCTGCAAGCCAGTTGAAGATCTAACACACCTGTGAACAGAGTAGAAAGACTTGTTTTACAAGAACTCTGTCTCAGGGGACATAATGCTCTTTGTGATTAGAAAGCCTGTGTCCACAAACATCACTTAGTTCCAAAATGAGCATCACATATCTTTCTTCTCAGAACAGGGGTAAAGGGAATCTACTAATAAAACAACAAACATGAGGGATGGGGTGAACAGTGCCTTCATAAGATTATCCTTCACTGTAACTGCAGAGCAGTTGGTTGGATCATTTTTCTTGTGTAGATCTATTCTAGCACCATCATAGAATTTTGTTTTTAATTGCTGGACAATTGTCTTGTTTACTTTTCTTCTATAGATCACTATTCTATCACCTTCATAGAATTTAGTTTTAAATTGCCTGACAATTGACTTGTTCACTTTTATTCTATAGATCACTATTCTAGCACCATCATGAAATTGTCTTTTTAATTGCTGGACAATTGTCTTGTTTACTACTGTTCTGTAGATTACTGTTCTTCAACTGATGCTCTGTGGAAATGTTCTTGTGGTCTGGTATAAACTATGCCCAGTCATATAACATTTACATGATTGTACCGCTGCATTGCTGTATAGTGTTGTGAGGTGCTGCATGTGATAATTTGGCCTCGGAAGTATAAGGGCTGCTACTGTATATCAGTAGTAGCGTGTCAGCTTCGCCTCTCCTCGGCATGTTGTAATATTCTTATTTTATTGTATTCTTTCGTATTGTTTTCTAATTTTGTGCTCTACTTTTTAGGAGAACAAGTTATGCCTTTCGTTAAATTGTATACCTCTCAAAATGGTGATTAAAAGTTCAGCCAGCAAAACCTGTTAATCTTCTTTAAACGAGGCAAGGACTATTTGGATTTAAACCCAAGCCCTTCAGGTCTGCAGGCAAGCATCTAGCCACTATGCCATAGCATCTCCCACAAGTTATATATAGAACTTCAAAACCATTACTGTGTGGTTTAGAGGTTAGAGAACTCATTTCACAATGCAATCCTCCACATTGACCAGGGTTTGATCCCTGCAGTGGGAGGTTTTGAAAAAAAAAATGATTTTCTCGGCTCTCTGACAGTGATATTATAATCACACAATGGGAGAGATTTGGGTCTCACCAGAGAATGTTCCCATATCTACTAGTGCATACATTGCAGCCAGCATCCATTATGGAGATGGTACCGTCTTAAATTTATTAAAAACCCTGCAGTGGATATCTTGTCATTGCTCTCCCCCCCCCCCCCCCCCCCCCCCCCCCATTTACAATGTTATTTTCTTTTGGGTGTCAGTGGTGTCACCAACAGTGAGCACCTGATGAGGTGCAGTTGTCAGTGAAGTATCTGGGACCTTACTTCAGCTGGACCACCAGTTTAATACACTACTTAGTCTTCACACTGCTTGTTCCATATCTTTTCAGTAAACTGTGGAAATTCAAAAGTAATGTTTGAGGGTCAGTAGATTTAATATGTGTGCAGGGTTTGGCGTGGTGCTGCAGGGTTTGGTGTGGTGCTGCAGGGTTTGGTGTGGTGCTGCAGGGTTTGTTGTGGTGCTGAGGGTTTGGTGTGGTGCTGCAGGGTTTGGTGTGGTGCTGCAGGGTTTGGCGTGGTGCTGGCCAGAAATTCTCCCACCCACTGGTAGCAACGTAGCTACAGGCAGTCCCCACAGTAAAAAAATGCCTTCACATATTCTGAACTACAGTTCCATGAACTAGGCTAGCTCATTTATATGTTGGCTTTTGCTTTTCTCCAAAATCCATAGAAATATCTGGTATCCATTTTGAGAGTTATCACTCATGAAATTGAACCCAAATAATGTCTTTGACAGGCAAGCACACTGACTCCTGTATCACTGCTGCTGAGCTTTTCTCTAAAGCAGTGACTCTCAACCTTGCCAATGCTGCGACCCTTTAGTACAGTTCCCTCATGTTGTGGCAACCCTTTAATACAGTTCCCTCATGTTGTGGCGACCCTTTAATACAGTTTCCTCATGTTGTGGCGACCCCCAAACATTTATTTTCCTTCATAACTTCAATGATTTTCCTGGAGTTTTCACATTTCCAGACGGAAGGGCAGCCACCTTCCAGCCATCATGCAGGCTGTTTGGTTGCACAGTCAGGCCCACTACTTCTTTAGATGTGTGAGTCACTCAGAGCTATCAACATAAGTTGGCAGTTGGTTGTTGTGGAATATAGTTATCTTTTGTTTGTTGTGGCAGACTTCCTGTCAAGAGCTCATTGGGATGGAGATGCCAGTGACTAAGCTTGACAACCAAAGGGTGGTGTTGGCTGTAGAACCTGAGGCAGCAGGTATGTGTACTTGTAGTTTGTTCTGTTAGTTTGTGTTATTGATCTGGGTCACCAGTGTCAAACATAGACCTGTGCTACAGCTAAAGAGTGCAGAATCATAACAGAGATATCTTAGAAGAGCTGCCAGAGTCATGATCAGAGATGAGATATCTTAGAAGAGCTGCCAGAGTCATGATCAGAGATAAGATATCTTAGAAGAGCTGCCAGAGTCATGATCAGAGATGCAATGAAGAATGAAGACATTAGAAAAAGATCAGGCCTGAAACCAGCCAAACAGTTCATTAAAGAGCGACAGATGAGACGGTTTGGCCATCTGATGAGATTGCCCTACTACCAGCTCCTAGAGATGGTCAGCTGAAGAAATATAACAAACACAGTGCAAGGGAAGCACCATGCAAAAGATGGAAACAGCCTTAAAGAAATTAAGATAAGCCTATTAGAGAGCACACAGTACAAAAGATCCTTACATATCCTCCCCCCCCCCCCCCCCCCAATATTTCAATGCAATAAATGGAGGAAAAGGAGGAGAAGAAGAGGACAGTTTTGTTATGCAAAGATGGAACAAGTCTTAAAGAGATGGAGGTCATCTTTTTAAGGAAAAGCACAGAGGACAGAAGATCCTTCTACCCCCCCCCCCTCCCCCCTACCCCCAACATTTAAATGTGATCACTGTAAGAAGAAGAACAGGAACATTTTATTATACAAAGATGGAACCAGTCAAAGAAATCGATATGTGTCTTTTTTTAGAAAGAGGACACAGAAAACCCTTACATTCACACACACACCCACCCCTCCACCCCCCACAACCACCTTTTCCACACACATTTCAGTGATGTAATGGAAGGAAGGGAAGAGGAAGATGTTGTTGTCTTCCTTGGTTCTTAATTTGTGATCAAAACATTTGCAGGATTTTCCTGATGTATTTATTGTGAAAAGTCTCTAGTGTTTGTGCCTTTGGTTGCATCTGTTGTATTTGTTGTCTTCAAAATGTGAATGATTTTTACATGGCAGGTTTACAAAAACACAAGGGTCCTCTGTTTGGGCTTTTTCGAACATCAGAAAAGAGAGTGGTAGACAGGAGAAGTTACGCAGGACAAGGGGATATCTTTAAAGATTGATAACAGGACAACGGAGGCATCTCATTCAGGGTTAGTATGACTTCATTATAATGCTAATTAAATAACACAGCTCACAGTAACAGAGTTTATGTCTTCTTTATGTGTTTAAACATTTTTATCTCTCTTTTATTTGTAAATAATACTTTTCCTTGTTTTTAATCTTCTGTTTTCTTAGTGGAGTCATATTTTGCAGCCTGTTTTATGTGAATTTTATGTGAACTTTACAAATGACTGTTTTATCGTGTCTGTTATAAAGTCAGTAAGTTTTTATCTTCTCTGTTTTTTTAGTGGTATCATATTTTGCAGCTACCTTTTTGTGAGCTTAACAGGTGCCTGTTTTATTGTTTCTGTTATAAAGTCAGTATTGCACTGCCCGAATGTACTCTAGGAAGTCATATGGGTGCTCTTTGCTGGGGAGAGGATCTGAGCACCTATGGACATATACTGAGTGCAGTGATGATAACCCAGCTAACTAACTAACTAATTAAGTTACCAACTAACTCACTCACTCTGGGAAGTCATTTTATCATTTGACAATTTGCTGCATGCTCCTGTCTAGATATCTTGTCATTGTTGCTGGCAGCACATACATGTAGCCATTCATGTCTCTGGGTCAGTTCTTAAATAAGTCACCTTAAATCAATAAAAGTGTTTGCCTACCTTTCATGTTATTTTTCTGTATGCACTTTTGTCAGCTGTTGTGCTGATTGAAACTTGTGTTTTCTTGTTTGCAGTCTGGTGAAACATGCGTGTCTGCAGATCTGTTTCGGAGAAAAAGTGATGTGACCTGAGGCTGCAGATACAGCAGGGAGGCAGGCACTAACAAAGATTGAATCCGTTCTGGATAATCCTACCTCTGACTGACCACAGGAATCAGAATCCACCTTTACTGGAAGTGGGCCTGCATAATTTTCCTGCAGATGATCAGTCAATTTGTCTCAAACAGGGAGGAGAGAGGGGACAAGAAAGAGAGAATATCTCTAGCAGTTCAAGAAGCAGCTAAACACTTTCTGACATTAGCCTTCTGTATTGAATTAGATGTAAGGAGAGTTAATTATTGAAGGTAACGTGTGATGACTACAGACACTTGTCATGATAGTAGGTCAGGTGGGATGACTACAGACACGTGTCATGATTGTTGGTCAGGTGTGATGACTACAGACACTTGTTCTGACTACTGACACTTGTCGTGATTGTGATGTATGTAACAAGATGGTCTAGTACAGGGCTGTTTAACTAGTGGCCCATGGGCCCTGCAGAAGCCTAGCAAATGACCCGCAGATCACTGACAATTGTATAGCCTGTATTATATTTAGGATCTTTCTCTGCTGGGGCTCGGGCCTCTGGTCCCCCGGCGATCCCCATTTTCCAAGTTGTTGCCCTCCGAGTAAAATAAGTTAAATAGCTCCATCATATGGTAATCATATTTCATCTGTTATAGTATGTCTATCATAGATCTGTATCATCATATCATATGGTAATCATATTTCATCTGTTATAGTATGTCTATCATAGATCTGTATCATCATATCATATGGTAATCATATTTCATCTGTTATAGTATGTCTATCATAGATCTGTATCATCATATCATATGGTAATCATATTTCATCTTTTATAGTATGTCTATCATAGATCTGTATCATCATATCATATAGAAATCATATTTCATCTGTTATAGTATGTCTATCATAGATCTGTATCATCATATCATATGGAAATCAAATTTCGTATCACATTAGGTAGCTGTAATAGTTCTCTATGATCTTGTCGTATGGCAGCTAGATTTAATCTCGGCCCATCTCATTTTATAGCTGCATTTCATCATATCTTAGACATCCACTTTTTGTCTGTGCTGTCTTGATTTCATACCCGTGTGATGCGCTTCTTGTGTTGAGATCACACATTTTTCTGTGTTGATCAGAGAAGGTTGAGGACACAGCGACAAGCAAAAATAGAGAATGTTAATGGCCATATTTTTTATTTTAACCAAGGCTTGATTTACTAGTTGTAGTTTATTACACATATCTGTATTGTTTGAGGAATATTTCACATTAGTGTGATTTGTTTCCAATGAAAAAGTTGTGATTTTTACTGACTTTTATTAGACTGCTCTGCTTCTTGATTCTTCTTCTTCTCCTCCTCCTCCTTCTCTTCTTCTCCTCCTCCTTCTCTTCTTCTCCTTTTTCTTCTTCTTTCTCTTCATCAGTTCAAAAAAATAAATGTTAGCATGATTTCTAGCTAGGCTGCCATGTCTGCTCCTTTCCTTCCAACATGTCCAGTTTGACAAAAACCATAATTAGGTTTCCATTGCCCATACAGGGAACTTGAAAGGTCATTTTGCAATGTAATTTTTTTTTTTTAATAAATTTGTTTGGTGTAGGTTTTGCTTGTACGAGGGGAAGTCAATAAGTAAGTCACAAATGGTTGTTTTATAAAAAAAAAAAAAAATCCAAAGATGATAACTTGAAAAACATTTATTTTTACACATACACTGTCCCATTATTTTTCAACATAATTTCCACCAAACATTGGTGCACTTTTCCTATTGTTTTATCAGTCCTCCCAGACCTGCTACATAGAACTGCATGCTGTTTTATAAACCACATTTTCACTTCACATTCTGGGTACTTGAGCACACTTTCTTAAATTTCAATCCATCATGCATTATGTTGTGAGCCATGTGAGCACCCTATTGCAGCTGCTACAGAGTCAACCATTACTCGTCTGTCACCTCTAATCATCTCCACCCGCTGCACAGATCTACCTGTTGCAATCTCAATAAGACGACCAGATCGGACGACAGCAACAATTTTAGAGAGTTGGTACATTTTTTTTACCCAGCTGTTCACTACTTTACGAGATGACCATTTGTCAGCATAAATAGGAAGCATTTCCTTATAAATATCATTTGCAGGCAGCCTTTTGCCTAAAAAAAGAGAATGCACAACAGCACGTTGTTCTTTGAGGGTAAACTCAGTAAATACAGCCGCCATTTCGTTTCCGTGTTGCGAATGCGCATGCTGCACCTAGTGCCACCTAATGAATGGAGACATAAAGTTTGACGTTGCTTTCACCTAATGACACCTTTGGAAACCACCAGCTAAATTTACCTGTCATCCCATAACCATCTGTAACCTACTTATTGACCTCCTCTCGTATCTATTATTTTATTCCAGTTTTATGTCTTCCAGACTTAGTATTTATCTAAGGTGACTTTGGCAACACTTAAGGCACAATCAAAACTTATATTGTGTATATGTAAATATATGTGTATGTTTGCTTGCTTCTAAAATAAGTGTTCGTATAAAGCAGTGTCTGTGTGTGAACACTTTATTATTTATTTTCTCATGACCTTTATCTTACATTTACAGTTTATCCTCAGTTCTATTGTTCTAATGACATCTGTTGTATTTTTTATGTGTGTGTGTATTTTGTTGCTTATACATTTTTTTAAATCTGACTCTCATCCCTGTTGTGACCAGGTCCTGTTCCTGTTATTTTTTTTTTTCTTCCATGGTTACTGCTTTTATCAGTTTTAGACTGTTTTTACAAATCGGTAGGGGAAAGTCCAATTTACTGCCATTTTTGTTTTTTGTTTTTTAATGTAAATGGTAGAAAAGTCAGCAAGTCCACATCTTGGTAACATCTTCTTGTGACATTTTTCTCAAGATGAATTGCCAGCATTAAACCTCAATGATTACATGCTGTCCTCTCTAGCTAAAGGGTTGTGAATAGAGTTTAACAGTTTTGACATACCAAAGTTCTAAGTCAGCCGCACGCAATTAGTTAGCTGACTGTATTGATTTAGCCAAAGGTATGAATGACAGACTTCTAAGCATAAAATTAGTGAGAAGGCACAGCAGCCATTTAATATGAGGCTTGTTTATGACATCCTGAAGAGAACGTACAACAAATTTTTTTTTTTAAATAACATACTGATCTTTTGGTTTATGTGTTTGTTTTATGACAGCATCTTTAAATTATTACAAGGAAATGTTTTCAAACATCCACAGCATCACAATTTGTCTGGTTATGTGTTGAATATTTTAACATGTTTTTTTTTTTTTTTTAAGTAATGGGAATTTGCCAGTGAAAACAGTATTTTGAGTAGGGCAACAAACAGAACGACCAATTGTTCTGTTCTCAGTTTTTGGCAACAAACAGAAAGACCAGTTGTTCTATTGGCAGTTTTTGGCAATAAACAGAAAGACCACTTGTTCTGTTGGCAGTTTTTATAATTGATTACGGAACCAGTCAGAAATTTTATTTAAATTTGTCAGTGAACTCTGTGCCGGGGGAATGTTTATATGTCTGTGAGCAATTGTAAATATGAACATAATCAAATTCCAAGGTTGTGAACATACTTTGTGAACACTTGTTCTAGACTTCATGCTAATGTTGTGTTTCTGTTCAAGCAGAATAAACATGTAGCAGTGAATTGTGTCTGGTCTTATTGATGTAACTATGTGAGCACACACAGTAGGAAACAAAAATGTTGAAAATATGAAAGCTATCAGAATGAAAGTATAACAGAGAAGTTCTTCCTCTCCTATAACAATATAAACCTGTAGATGTAAACAAAATTTGTAATGCACATAATGTGAGAATCTCATCCTTATCCTCTTCCTCCTCCTCCTCCTCCTCCTTCTTATTTTTCTTCTTTTTCTTCTGTTGCGTTCACCCGATGTGAGAACAAAAGTATAACATATAATTTACTCCAGTCATATTATTATTGAGGAGTGGCTGGCTGAACAGTTAGAACCCTGGGCTCTCAAGCAGGAAACCTGGGTTCAAATCTCAGTAAAGCTGTGGATTTTTTCTGTTGGGGACCAAATAAATCCTCACCTGCACAGTCGTGGCGACAGCACTAGCCATGCGGCCGTAAATCCTCAGGCTTAGACCCCCCTGCCTACACCCAAAAAGTGGTAAAACAAATGCAGTAATTGGCACTATGCCAGAGTCACTTAAATTATGGTGGTTTGTACATAAGTGCATTT